GGCATTTTTAGGAGTGGCTTGTGTTTGCTCTTCATCAAAGTCAAACTCAGTCGGTGTTGGAGGCCTGGAAAAAAAAAGTCACAAGGCTTAACATCACCTGCACACAAAACCAAACCCTTACAGAAGAAATGATGCGAAAAAACTCGTCTATACCGACCTGCGTTCTCTCTCCTCCCTCTCCCTTTCCTTAGCTGCCTCCTCCTCCTCGTCTCTTTCAGGCGAGGGGGTGCATTCAGGTGTCGGGGGCCTCCTGGGAAGGGGCACAAAGTTCAGTTCCAGCATCTCCCCTTTAGAGAGGAGCTCATAGAGTCTTTTGATCTCAGCAGGAGGGGGCATCCAGTTTTTGGGGTCCTCCATTTCCTCATCGCTGTACGCAAGCTCCCATTCGCCATCCTCCCCTGTGGCCTGCTTTTCCTCTTCACCGTCCACCCCTGTGTCTGCCTGAGGTTCATCCTTGTGTGCTTCTCCCTCTGCTGCATCTGTGTCTCCATCTGAGAAAGCAGCAAAAATGCTTAGAGTCAGTTTAACAAAAGCAGGATTAAAGCACTTCAGTACATTACATGTTGGTCACATTTATATATGTATATACACAGATAAATTATACTGTGATGCTGTACTAGCATGGGCAGGTAATGAGACAATGCGGCCCCTGTGTACAGACATGCAGATGGCTGCACCACCTCTCCCACATACAGTAGGAGCAAGACCCACAGACAGCATCTATTTGATGTTGTTTTGAATCTCTTTGTAGTCATTACGCTTCTTTCTGTGGTTTTGTGTCTCTTTGTAGTCATTTTATGACCTTATAGTCATTTTGAGTCCCTTTGTAGTTGCTTTCCGTCTCTGTATAGTCATTGTGTGGATCTTTGTGGTTGTTTTGCCCCTTTTTGTATTTGCCATGTGTCTTTTTGCATGTGTTCCATCTCTTTCATCATCTGTTGCATCTATTTGTAGCAACTGTGAGTTTCTTTGTTGTTATATGATTCTTTTTCATTTTGAGTGTCTCTGGTCAGTTCGTGTTTCTTCGAGTGAAGGCCAGGGGGGGCCCCTGACACTTTGAGCCCCTGGGCCTGTGCATAGTAAGCCCACTCAGTAATCTATGTGCAGTAGGGCTGGGTATCATTATTCAATACCCTTCAAGGTATTGACCTGAAATAACCCTGTACCAAGTAGTACTGAAACTTCTCTAGCAAAGCGGTAACTGCATTCTATCCTATTTGTACCTGTATCTGAATAAAATGACTGTTTGTATAGTTTAGGTCACGTGTGATTGACCCACTACAGCTGTAGCTACAACCCATACAGTGTATGGCATGGTACAGGTCAGAAGGTGTATTTGACGGAGTCATTTGTACTCATGTTGTCAACAATATGGACTTATCCATGCAAATCAGTTATGAAAATTTTAAACAGTTTCAGTACTCTTTTTTTTGCAGTATCAATACACTGGCACCAGCTGGGCTTTCTCACGCTTACTTACTGTTAGTGTTTATTACTGTGATTCTGCTGTTCTCTGCTACCAACCAAGAAAAGGAAAGTGGTGGCTGTCAAGTTATAGCCTTATTATATTTATCTTTTAATACACAAAAAAACAATTTTAGGTCGTCATTATCAATTGCCCACATACTATGGAAAGTAATATCAAATATCTAGGCTATATTTTTAAAGGTATTGTATTGAAGTTATAAATTCCAGTATCATGACAACACTGCTACACATAAATCATACTGTGACAAGGACGTATTTTTTGTTTCAATACTGGAGGGAGGCTCCATGATTCGATAGTATCATGATACTTCAGTCATGATACAATATTATTGCAATTTTAAACGTGTTGCAATGTGCATAGTACTGAGATAAATATAACATATATTTACCTTTATATTATTACCTTTTTTAAACTGTAAATTATGTCCTAAAGGAAAACTGTCAGCATCTGTGTTATCTAGTTTTTAGTCTGTTCATCAAACTTAAACCATTTTATTTGCAGCAAAATATATGTAGTGGACTGAAAAAGCAACTGACTATTTTATTCCAGTAGGATACCTAAAGTTTAATTTGTATTTGCAATATTAATAATTTATAAAATAAAACATCGATACCTGGCACTGTGTGATGTTACGATATTATGATACGATATTTATGCACCATTTTCTGCCCTTTCTGCATCAATTTATGGTGTATATGTCCTCTGCTACGTTCATGTTTTTATTGGGGGAGACAAATGCACATGCTCTAATACTGAGGGAGATGTGTCTCCTCTTAAAACTCTTACACAACTCTGAATAAAGACTTTTTCCTTCATGGTAAAACTTTTTGTCTACTGTGTGTGCTTTTAAGTTGTGTAGCTGCAGATATTAAATGTCTGTCAGTAATTTGGAGTTACCCTTTTCATCCTTGGTTGCTGTATCCTCCTCTGTGGCAGCTGTCATCTCTGAGTCCTGGTGCTCTGTGCTGTCCTCTTCCTCTTTGACTGCTGCGGGTTTCTCTGTGTCCTTCACACCCAGAGCCTCTATGCCCTCTCTCAGTGTAGTGTCTGTGGCCTCAGCCTGCATCCTTCCTGCTGCTGCTGGTCAACTCTATAGCCACGGATCTGCTAAACACAAGCATGGGTTATGAAAAAGATTATAGTGAAACTGAAAGTAGGTGAGATAAGAGTTCTTTGAGAGAGCTAGCCAAAAGTAGTGTCATGTCTACAACGTTTAACTGCTAACGTTAGCCTAATGAAAGCTGTTAACTTTGCTGAATGGTAAACAGTAAACAAAGACGCATATTAAACGCATTTTTGTCCCTTTGTAAGTTAACTAGCGAGCTAACGTCAGGCCTAACCGTCAGCTATTTGTAAACAGCAAATTACAGTTAGATAAGATACGTGCCTTAAATTGTCATTACCGAGTGCCCGGCTTGTCGAGGATCACTGTCGTAGTTAAACGTTATGTCAAATTATCTTCCCCGGCGAATATAATCACCGAAACTCTCCATGAGACTCGCTAGAGATAATACACGATAATACAGAGACGTAAACATAGCGCCATTTTGGATCAGAGTGCTGTGTGACGATGTACTCGGTTCTGTTACTCTGCGCATGTCCGCTGATAACACGTCATGTGGATAAACCGTCGACAGCGCGAGCGGCCGGCAGCAGCTGATCTGTTTGTAGTAGAGATCTACTTTGCATGACTACCTGTGCAGCGCGCAAACGCACACAGGGCTGAATTCATGTCGGCCGAAATTTTAATAAACGTCTTTAACTTCACTTTTAACGACGATTTCTTATTTTTAAAATGTCTATATACATGTTTATACAGGTAAAGGTTGAATGTTATATTCGATGTACGAGTAAATCTTTTGAATAAGGGCGCTAGACGTCATATAGGCGCCAATGTTTGAGCGAGTTCTCATTGGCTGTGGCTGGATGCAGCTGGGGGCAGACAAATACGCACAACAGATTATGGTTGTGTAGTATACAACTATATGTACATACTATACTATAGTATACGGAGCAGCAGCAAAAACATCACTACTAAAAGTGGAAAGGACAATAATATGGTCTCTCCCTGATATATATCTAGTGGTTAACAAATTTAAAGAGATTTCCTGTAAGCTCATACATTACCCTGTCAAGTCATTTTCAGGTTCAAGAAGGTCATTGACACCATATGCACATTTTGTAACATGCACCCAGAGACTGTCTCCCATTTGTTCTGGACTTGCAAACACACTCTGAGTCTGTGGCGAGGTATCTGTCACTTTATATTAGACTAAATCTATGATGCTTTTGTACTTTGAAGTTTTATATCCATAAATATAAAGTGTTAAAAAGTAAAGCCTCTTTCTGTACTTTTAAAAGGGAAGCAGAATCCTACATCAGGACTTGTGCTCCAAGTTTAAGATTCTATTAGAGTGGTAATTTATCTTGTGGTATAATTTTATTGCATATCTTTTATTTATCTGTGTCACAATTTGTTTGTAACCCCTGGCATTGTTTGTCTGTTTCTTTATTGTTCCTTAATCTCTATAAAGAATAAAGAATAAATAAAGAATATTTAAAAAAAAAAAAAAAAAAAAAAAGTGGAGAGACTACAGTTAGGGCATTACAGTTATGTATAGGAGCTATTAAGTCAACCCCTATCATTGCAGCACTAATAGAAGCAGTAGAGACACCACTGGAGTTGAAAGGAAGTGGGGAGGAAAACCTAGCTAAGAGTCACTGCAGGAGTGTTGGAAAGACTATGTTCTAGGGGTGTTGGTTTGGATGGACAATAGAAGGAAGAATGAGGACATATAGAACTGAGGCATCAGAGTTCACCAGATCCACCCCGGTTAGTAGCACCTTTGTGCCTTTTCCCAGGAGTAAAGACAGACAAGAGTATTTAGGAAAAGTCAAGCGAATGGCAAATGAGTGAAGTAGGAGTTAAAACAAGTGTATGATCAAGGAATAATTATTGCAATTATCTTAAAACCTACACGGATGGCTCAAAGAATAAACAGGAGTGTGTGGGAGACAGTGTGTATATCCCCAGGTTCAAAATGTCTGCTTCCAAAAGACTGTCTGACCACTTATCTGTGTATACAACAGAACTATTGGCAGCCATTATTGCTTTACATTGGGTTGAAGACGTCAGGCCTGATAGGATGGTGGTGTGCACAGACTCATCAGCTGTTTTGGAAAGCATACAGTCCCAACAACTGTCAGAGAAGATTTAATACATATCTAATTGCATTGCACTATGTATGAGATGGAGAGGGAAAGGTTGAGTGAAATAGTTCTGGAGGCGGGGCAAGAGTGGTATTTGATGGAAAGAGAGGAGGAGGAGGTAAGGGTCACCAGGAGGGCACTTTTTTACTTTCTAAAACGACAGAAGAATGTAGGAAATCAGGTAAATTGATATCATGTTATACACTCTTGTGCAGTGGGTGGCGGTGTGCAGGCAAAGCTCCTTGCGATCCACCAATAATGGAGAAGAGAAGAAGAAGGCGAGTTCTGATTGGTTCATGGTGGTTTCCGGTTACAGCGCTCCTCATTTGAAAAGGGTTCGGTTAGATGTTGAGGGGGGTCCACCGCCATTGTTAAAAGACGGCGTCCGCAATGTTGCCAAAAGTAACATTTGAAAAGTAAAAATTTTGAACAAGGAGTCACAAGGAAAGTGATACCGGTGAGTACTAATGAAACATTAGTGACAGCTCGGTAAAACGGTAACGGACCTTCGCCAGGCGAATAAAGTTCGTTTGAGAAGCAAGACGAAACCAAACGTTAGCTAACGTTAGCTTGTTGTTAGCCGACTGAAGCTACTGCTAATAAAGTTAAACATAACTTATCATTGTAGCGATTTGTTTGCGGGAACTCTCAGTTTATTTGAAATCTATCGGTTAACCACATTTTCAATAATCTTTAGATGCTTTTGTAAACAGTTAAAACAACAGTTCTGCTTGGCTAACTTGGTTTTTATCGTTATCCAGGCCTTTTGTTTTGAGGACTTCAAACATGGCGCAGCGTGTGGCGGTACAAGATGGAGCAAGCAAGAAGACAGCTAGAGTTCGGGTAGCGGTTCGTTTGCGGCCCTACATGGGCAAGCTCGATGAGAAAAGCGAGGGCCCGTGTGTCAGAGGCCTGGACGCACAGAATCTGGAAATAATCAACTGGAGAAATGCTACAGAAACTGTCAAATACAAGTAGGTGTTCCTGGTATCTTAGCATCTAACTGGCCTCACTCCTGAATTATCTTCTCGTTAATTTCTGTAATTATTGTCCAACAGCTTTGACGTTTTTCATGGTGAGCAAACGACGCAACAAGACGTTTTCCTCTCATCAGTGAAGCCCATTCTGCCACACATACTGAATGGACAAAATGCCAGTGTCTTTGCTTATGGACCAACAGGAGCTGGTATGTTACCCCAATATTTATTTTGTTAAGATATACTTTACTTTGTTGCTTATTAAAGATGGTTGTAAAGGCACATCCAGTCTCCAATTTTTCCTAAACATTTCCTTTAATGACTTTTCGGTATATCAGTGGGATTTTAAATAGGCATAGTATTATTGTATTTATTATATAATGACATCACTAGTATTCCCATAAACATGTTTTGATTAGAGCACTAATGTTTTTGTTGAGACAGTTTGCTCTTGAAGTTCACTTCCTTAGTGAACTGCTCTATTTCCAAAATGCATGTTTTTTTATGTGTGCAACTCACTGTGTTTTTTCCCTAGGTAAAACCCACACCATGATGGGCAGCTCAGATGAGCCAGGCGTGATCCCCCGCGCTGTTCGTGCCATTTTCAATATGGTCAAAGCTAAGGATGAGGCTGAAGGATGGGACTACAGTATTGGCATGTCTTATTTGGAAATATACAATGAAAAGGTATGGATTGTTGGCAGTATCGTGCGAGTTGGTAGTTTTATGCCTTCTGTTAACGGATAAGAAAGTGAAATAGTGTTATGTTGTAAAGGAGTGAGTCGAGGTTGTTACCAATTGTTCATAATCTGAGTTTTTGAGTTTGTAATTCTGGGCCACACGGTGGTGCAGTGGTTATAGGTTATCTTACTGTTTTTTTCCCCTCCCCATGTCAGTGTGGGTGTTTCCATGTCAGGGTACTTTAGCTTCCTACCACAGTCCAAAGGCCTGCAGGTTCAGATTAAGGTTAATTGGTGATTCTAAAGCCCCTTGTGTGCTTTAAATGTTACTAAGGTGTCAGAATGCATAAAAAAGCATCATAATAGAGCTGGTTTATGAAAACAAATGCCAGGAGAGGATCCAAGAGAGGTATGGGCTAAGCCTAGAAACACCCCTGCCTAAAGCACACGTTGAAAGGGTGAAAAACAGGCAATTCATTTATTAAATATACTGATAAATATTCATGGTGTTTGCTCATTAACTGCCCTTTGGCCTCCTGTCATTATGCAAGAGTGGCAGTAGAGTATCCCTGGTGTACCATGTGAACAAAGTACCAGTAGAGCAATTCTGTCAACAGCTCATGTCTGGCATTTATGATACTTAGAAAGAAAAGACTGTCATGCTGCAGTGTTAACATAGTAACATACTGTATACATGTTCAGTTTAAAAGTGGCCATTTCCTGGTACATTGTTAGGAAATGGGTAGGCTACAGTGTTTGTATATTGCAGTTGGAAATAAAATGCTACTTGCACCTGATTTTTTTTTTTTTTTTTTTTTTTTTTAAAGTGTTGGTGGGAAAGAACTTGTTTGAATAATAAAAATAAACACAGATTAATTCTCCTTTTTATCTTTTAAAATAAGAGCCAAACTCTACTCGTAATCATGTAAATTCCATAAACGTGTCTCCACCTAACCGTCCCCTTTTCATTTGTATAGCTAATGCAGCCTATTGAAAGAACCTTGGGTACACAGAGTTCCTCAACTTGTCATGCACTCACGTACCTGAAACCATATCCCTCTGTTCTAGGAAACAGCTCTCACTCTCTTCAAGTTAATTCAAACCTTTCTCCTAACTGTGCTCCCCTGCTAATTATCTGCTAGTAAAAGTTTCTTTGGGTTTTGTTAAACCGTCTGGTTATTTTATATTTGACAGTGCACGATCTGTCTTTCTTTCTCAGGTGCTAGATCTTCTATCACCAGGCTCCCAGGATTTGCCAATCAGAGAGGACAAGGACAAGAACATCCTCATCCCTGGCCTCACTCACACAACCATCACATCCTTCTCAGATTTTGACAAACAGTTTGTCCCTGCCAGCCTCAATCGTACCACAGCTTCTACCAAACTCAACCAGCGCTCTAGCCGCAGCCATGCTATCCTCCTCATCAAGGTTTGATATGTAGTCTGAGAGTTACTGTTTTCTACATTGAGTCTGTGCATGGGTGTCCACTGGGTGGTCAAACAGCATCTTAAACAGGTCGTGGCCTCTGAGCAGTAGGTCAGGATTTGGTAGCTGGTGCTAAGATCAATTCTCTCTCGCAACACTCCCACTAGCTGCCTCTGGGCTTTCTGGGACTTTACTGGGAGAGAAATAAACTGGTGTTTTGTGTCCTTTCACTAACTTTGTCATTTTCTGCATTCTTGCTTCCTATTTTGTATCGCTGGATATGTGTGTGTCATATCTATCAAAAAATGTAAGCCTCTTTAACTGCCTTATTTTTGCCTCATTTAACCTTTCCTTACATCTGACCTCTGTCATTTTTCCTTCTCAAATCTTAATCTTTTCAATGATCCAGGTTGTACGGACTCAGCGCGTCCTCCCCCACAGACAGCAAACGGGAAAGCTGTACCTGATAGACCTGGCCGGGTCCGAGGACAACCGTCGCACCGGCAACCAGGGCATCCGCCTGAAAGAGAGCGGCGCCATCAACCTGTCTCTGTTTACTCTCAGCAAGGTCGTGGACTCCCTTAACTCTGGCACTGCCGTCCGTGTGCCATACAGAGACAGTAAACTGACACGGCTGCTACAGGACTCTCTGGGCGGCTCAGCACACTCTGTCATGATCACCAACATTGCACCAGAGTACAAGTACTATTTTGATACGTTCAGTGCACTCAACTTTGCCTCCAAATCCAAGCTCATCGTGAACAAGCCCTTCACCTGTGAAACTGTGGCTGTGCCTGCGCTTCCAGGTAAGAAATACGCTCAATTTTTATTCAGGTGGCTTGTCAGTAGGGTGAAACGATTTGGAAAACCCTGATACTGCAAAAATAAATAAATTCTTGGTGTTGTCGTTGTTGTTTGTGATGTATATGTCAATTTAAAAAAAAAAAAAAAAATGAGTTAAGGAATTCAAAGCAGAACACATACAGCACCAGTATTAAGCACAGGTGTAACCAAAAAACTAACAAATGAGACTTTTCAGGCCGACAAGGAATAGATGTGAACATTTTTCCCCCCAGCGTGACCTGAATGATGAGCCAATTCAGGCCATGACTCATATTGCGTCTTCTGCAGTGTCAATATTGTATGAACTTTCGTTGCGATGGTGATTTTTATGAGATTGTCTAGGCCTTCTTGTAAGCGTAGAAAGTCATGTTATTAGGAAGCTCTGACAGACTGATCTAAGGCCAATAGGGGGCATCTGTGTCACATCCCAGAGGATGATGACTCGGAGTAAACAGCCAGCTGTCTCACAGCACGATGGGTGTCATTTGAAGAAATGTTTCGAACACCACTCGAGTTTGTTCTTTTAATGCATTTCCCTTACATTTAAGCATAGTCTTAAATAACGCTCTTCTCCCTTTGGCTTTAGTTCTGGCACTGCAATGCAGTCTTGACTGATGCTGTGCCATCTTCATCTGTATTGCTTTACACTCCAGAGAACCCCACAAACAGTGTTGCTCGAGTGCACTGAATACTAAACCGTTAATTTCCCTTCTGCCTTCATCTCCAGTGAAGCGGGCCAGAGAGGACCACGAGGCAGGCGGGTCTGGCACCGAGCCACAGAAGAAGAGGCAGAAAGACGAGAGGAAAAGTGAACAGGAGGGCTCCTCACCGTCTTCACATTTTAACAGGTTAAAAGATCACACACAGACTTATTTGGCTAATCAGACGTAGGAACTGTGATGTTTGACTGTAGAGAAAACACATCTGCCCAGAGCGACTACATCAGATTAATTCTGCACAACGGCAGCTCAAACAAGCCACAGCCTCGAATCAGTGGGCCAAGATTTTATAGTGTGTGCTAAAAGCAACTCTCTCTGCAGTGCTCCCATTGGCTGCAGCTGCTCTGTCTACTGGGAACTCTTTAGCAGAGATACAAGCACTGCTTTCTTGCCATCTCTTATCAGATGTATAAATCTGTCTGTGCGATGAAGCTCTTCAGCTTGTATTTGTCGGCCTTTTGACTTTTGAGTACACTTCAAAGCCCCTGAACAAACGCACCCCCCCTCACTGTCTACCGGCTTTCCCTCTTTCTTGATTTGTTTGTGTGTGCGTCTCTCTTTCAGTCTGTCACAGCCGTCAGTGATGGACAGGCTAGTAGCTCTGGAGAAGCTGATGATGAAGCGCCAAGACAAAGATGGACTGAGCGTGCTGAAAGATGTGGCACAGGAGATCCAGGTGAAAACACGCCTACATCAGAACTTGAGTTTATAGTATCATTATTGTATGCACCATATATGACACCCTACTATAAATATGGGACATTTGTCATGACTTTGTAAACGCAGCATAAGTAAAAAAGTAAACCTCTTTATGCATATGTTGGTGTGTTCTTTATACTGTGACAGTTTCCCTAAATTTAAATGTACAAATCGCAATAAATCACCATGCTTATAGTATCGCCATATAATGAATCTTGCCCCCATATCATATCACCAGATTGTTGCCAATACACAGGCCTATCATCCACCTGGGTGTCATGTAACCCTCTATAATATAGCTTCTGATTTATATACGCACCTGTTCCAGCCTCTGTCTCTTCTATCCATGTGTGATTTACCAGACGCTGATGCTGTCAGATCTTGACTCTGATCGATCAGCTCTTCATCGCAGATATTTGATAGCCACCCTCTGTTTTTTGCAGGTGCTCAAAGATAGGCAGAGGGAGTTTGAGAACAAAGCTATGCTATTCAGTCGGTTGGCTGGAGAAAAGTCCAGTGCCAAACAGGACGCTGCCTTCAAGAACACCACAGCGCCTCTGCAAAGACGACAGGCAACTGCAACAAAAGTGAATAAACAGCAGGCTGTAGTCCAGCCCCTACAAGGTCAGTTAGAAACAGGTGGAACTTGATAAATGTTTTGCCTTTTCACATTTAAATTCAAGTTGCAAGTGCAAAGACTCACTATATTAACACTAAAGATATGTCAGATAAGACCATCTTTCAGTCGCCCTTGAAAGAGGATGTGCTATATAAAAAAAGCGACCCTGGGAAAACTTTTGTCCTGTTCACGTTTCCCTAAAGAGTAGTCACTCACTAATTCCATCATGTTGAATCACTGGAGGTATCGCTGAGCTGCAATGTAATACAAGAGCTCAGTCTACCATATAGGAGCCAGAAAATGTATCCAATGACGATGAGGAGGAATTATTTTTAAACCCCTCAGCAGCTTGGGGATTGAGACGGATACCTTGGTACCTGTCTCACGCTTTTGGCTTGGAAACGGCACAAGAGCCCAAACAAGATATGAAATTCTACCTGTTTCAAAGCAAAATTTTCCCCTCAGTAAGAATATTTTTTCTTTGTTGACAGATTGGACTCTAACAGAGAAATATTATGACAAGGTTACGAGGTTGTTTGATTTCTAATGTATAGTATTAAGTGATTTAACATTAATTTATGTGTTTTCCTCCCCATCAGTGTCGCAGCTCCATCCTCTTCAGCAGCTTGCAGTCATCAAGAAACAGTCCGTCTGCGTCAAGAAGAAAGAGAGGAAGCTTTCAGATCAGGTTGAGGTCAGCATCCAAGCCTCCGCTCTGCTGCGCTTAGCTTGACACATCTGCAGAATTGCTAGCGTCAGATACAAGCTGACGTAGTGCATTAGGTTCAATTTGTGGTTCGTCTCGACAGACACTGCAAGATCTCAGATTTATTAGGTCAATATTAACCTCCTGTCCAGACCAATGTGGATGAATAAATCTTGACAGTTAAAGATAAAGATGTCCTTGTACATTTTCTATACCTGTGTAAAAATGCCAAATGTAAATGTGTCCAGTAAATAACATGAAACTGAAATTATCCGTTCTGTCTCAGCCTCCTGATGGTAAAGAGAACGTAATAGAGAACTGCTGGGAGTCCCAACTCGACACATCCATGCTCGAGAACTCCACACAGAAAATTCTGCATGTTCTCAATAACGGCTCCCTCAAAGAGCTCAAAGGTCTGCAGCAGATTGGTGACAAGAAAGCAAAGCTCATCCTGGGCTGGAGGGAAATACATGGACATTTCACAAGGGTCAGTAGAGAAAATGTCGAGCTCACATCGTGCTTTACGTGTAACCCACCTCACAACAATAATTTGTCCTTAAAGTTTTTCTTACTGAAGTTTTTAATTTTCTTGTGGAGACCTGACAAATGGTTTGCTTTTGCAGTTGGAAGATCTGCTAAAAGTCGAGGGAATGACGGAAAAGAGATTTTCCTCCTTCAAGAAGGTAAGTCAGGTCGTCAGTGGAGGATTTCTCGATTCAAATAGTTCGACAACAATTGGATGGATTGCCATGAAAATTTGATATTTGTTTAGTTTTTACTGAATATTTTCAGGCAAACTGTCAGGTTGACATGTTCAAATATATCACTTATTTTGTTGCCATTCTGTTTTCTTAAATTATGTTGTTTTTTTTTACTAATTTGTCACATTGTCAAGAATATCATTATTGCAAAAATACCCTGAAATGTTATTATTTTATTTAATTATTTTGTGTTTTTAATTTATTCTTGCACTAACCTGTTGGCAAAATGTAGATAAACCTTACTCACTCTAATAACTATATTACTACATAAAACCTACTTCTGTATGGGACCACATATATTTAGATTTACTTACTTGAATAAGAAAAAGAGGCCATCTCCAAATTTCTGTCTTATTTTCTGTTTTAAATGACCCCAAAGGCCATAAAAGGTAAAATGTAAGTGTCTGATACCTGCAGACACCCTGTAATGTTATATGCTTAGCAGAAAATGTTGACATGCTAAGATGGTCACTGCTAAACATCAGGATGTTGGCATTTAGCTGAACGCTGCAAACGTGGCCGTAGACCAGGGTGTCAGACTCAGCCCAGTTTGATCGCAGGTGGACCAGACCAGTAAAACCATTGAATAAAGTCCTACAAATAACAAACCCTTCCAAATTTTCCCTTTTTTTTCATTTTAAAGAAGCAAATTTTAAAAACTCCCATCCATTTGCAAGTCAGGTGACATAGAGCCTGTGATGTCTTCACAGGAATAAATGCAGTTTCAACAATATTCCTCAGGTTTTCCACGTTCAGTTGACTTCTCACTGTCATCACATGCATTTTTCGTTACATTTCCACTCCTGTGTAGTAATCCTAACATCAAAACTTGAAAACCTGAAACTGGCCACCTCTTCGCCATTACAAGTGTATCACTATTAGGTGTGCAAGGTCATCCAGTGGGCCAGATTGGACCCTTTGGTGGGCAGATTCTGGCCCCCGGGCCACACCCTGCTGTAGCCTTCATACTTTTAAATTGTAGATGGGGAGGGCAGTAGCTTTTAGAGATGATGTTTTCTCAGTGCTAATATTAATTTCTCACTTTTTTTTCCAGGCAAACATCCTGAGTTCCATGGGAAAGTGATTTTTATTTTTATTTTTTACCTACCCTTATCTAATGTATATGATTTCTATCTCTAAAGCTTTTAATGTCTTTTATGCGGTTTTATGATGTTTTTGTAGTAACCATTGTGTTCCAGCTGATGGCGCACTACTGCTTTTAAATAAATGCCTCACGTGTCATTTAAATGTTTGTGTGTTTATTTTATGATGATAAATAAATGTGATCACTTTAAACACATGACCAAGTGCATCCTGAACCTCCTGTCAGATGATTCCTCCTCTCTGGGGGGTGTTTCCGGGTTGAAAATCTAATTGGGCTAATTTGTGAACTCTTGGAGGCACGAGGACACATTTAATCACCGCTGATGTGCTGCAGCATCACAGGATAAATACTCAGTGTGAGAAGCTGTTTGTTTTTTTTTAAGGTGAGGAGAGGAGGACGCTGTAACCCAGCCTCCCCCTCCCTCTTCTCCCACAGCACGTAGTCTGGTTGATTTCACTTTTCATTTCACACACACCCCTCCTCCCTGATCCACCCTGCCATCCCGGAGACTCCCCATCCATCCCAGCACACTGCGCTGGCACAAGCCGCTACAACACCACCGCTCCTCCAGCTCTCACACAGGCTCGTAAAGGATCGTATGCAGACGGTTTACACACACGTCGAGGCTGCAGAGGAGATGTTGGGTCGTGTCTGATGGTTTTATTTTGCACCTGAGAATAAGGATGCCACATCCAGGCACGCTCAGGCTGTGTTGAGACAGGCGCTGGATTAAAAAGGTCAGTTTGATTTATCTTTATAGCCTCCTCTTCCCCCTCTGTGTGTGTTAATATATATGGCTAATTAAAATATCAGTTCACTCATAATCTGATTTAAACACAACAATCCAACACAAGCTGCGTGATTTTTCTGCTTGCAATGTAGCATCCCTCATCCACTGAATTCAAATCACGAGCAGCAGCAGGCTAATTAATGCTCCCCCCTCTTCCTCCTCCTCCTCTTCCTCCTCCACTCGTCCATCCGACTATTCCTCCTTTGTCCTCATCCTTTTACCTTTTGTTCTATGCCCGGCCACCATATGCCTTTAGGCTTGTGTACACATGATGGAATAATGGTATGTACACACCTGCACAGAGACTATGGCCGCTGCTATGGTTTCAAAGCAACCTGCCTCCATCTGCCATGCCTTTGTACTCCCCGTGTCATTGTGACCTGCTTTCACTGTTACCTGAGATAGCAGGTCTGCTATTTTAATATGAGGCCTGATTTACAGCCTGAGGGACATGCCGTGTGTGTGTGTGTCTCATGTGTTTACCTCGAGTGTGTTTACAGTTCAGCATGGCATGAGGAGTTATCAAAAATGAGGATAGATATGATCTGAAGTCAAAGTGGATTATAAAGAGGCTTATGGTGATATTGAGCCTGGATACAAACTGTAAATCAGCTAAAGCAGAATGTATTTAGGGACTGTATGAGAGCTGTTGGAGTGAGATGCATGGGCTGAGCCTTATGGTTCATCAGCCTGTTTTGAAAAAATAGGCCTGTGACCCTTTTCCCCTGTATTGATATTTTCTCTGGACCTCCCCTTGACTTAGAAAAGGACACACCACACCCTCCCCTCAGTGTCTCCGAATAGCCAAACAGAACATTTGGCACAGCTAGTTTTGCCATCATTAACAAAGAATTTAATGTTTTATTCTGATTTAAAGCACTGATTTGGCACTGCACTCCTAACACTAATTTAAAATGATAAAAATTAAAAATTAATAAATATTAAAACATGATTTAAAAAATGCTACAGAAACAGATAATATATATTTTTTAATTTGAAAAAATGTTTAATGTGATAACAAGTGAAGACCAGGGCAGGACATAGAAACAAACAGGATAAAATTATACAAAATTAGACAGAGACATACAACAAAAACTAAGACAAAGTGAAATATTGAGGATATAGAAGAAAAACAGAAAAACAAGAAAACAAGGAAAACAAAACAAACAATCTAATAAATTTTTTAAAAATATATACAATCCTCTTCCTGGCCCCCACATTACCCACAATGCCACTCAACTACCAACAGTTCAGCTAAGTTTTCTGTCTACATGACAGCCTCATACCCTTTTCCCACCAAACTTAGAACATATATGTGAGTTTTTTAAACGTAGGAAACCCCGTTAAAAATAAGCGATCGAGTCCTTTTCCATTTTCAATAGATCAGAGCCATGTACATGCTCTGCAGTAGAGGATGCTTCTCTAATTAGTTTCTGGTTTGCTGGGTTCAAGTCACAAACATGCCAGAAAACGGTTAATAAACAGCAGAAATCCAGTTGAAAACTGGCGCTTGGGCAGTGACTTGCAGCGTCAGACACTGATGATAAAGCTATCCTTTAATGTCAGCATGATACATGGCCAGTCGCTGTTATAGTTTAACACTGCCCTGTGGCATCAGGGGGAAACAAGGCGGGACAAGAACGAAAACTATGGCGGCGAAAGTCTGATTAGGGTAGGCAGGAGAGGTGGTGGATGGGTCCAACAACTACAGACCCTTATAAAGCCGAACCCTGTTCTTCTTTCCTAGACCTAACCACGTGTTTTTGTTGCCTAAACCCAACCACGTGTTTTTGTTGCCTAAACCCAACCACGTGTTTTGTTGCTTAAACCTAACCACGTGTTTTTGTTGCCGAAACCCAACCATGTGTTTTTGTAGCCTAAAGTTCACCACATATTTTTGTTGCCTAACCCTAACCATGTGTTTTTGTTGCCTAAACCTAACCACGTGTTATTGTTGCCTAAACCTAACCACGTGTTTTTGTTGCCTAAATCTAACCACGTTTTTGTTGCCGAAACCTAACCATGTGTTTTTGCTGCCTAAACTTAACTACGTGTTTTGGTTGCCTGAACCTTACCATGTGTTTTTGTTGCCTAAACCCAACCATGTGTTTTTGTTGTCTAAACTTAACCATGTGTTTTTGTTGCCTAAACCCACTTATGTTTTTGTTGCCGAAACCCAACCACGTGTTTTTGTTACCTAAACCTAACCACATGTTTTTGTTGCCTAAACCTAACCACGTGTTTTTGTTGCCGAAACCCAACCACGTGTTTTTGTTGACTAAACCTAACCTCATATTTTTGTTGCCTAAACCTAACCTCATGTTTTTGTTGCCTAAACCTAACCACGTGTTTTTGTTGTCTAAATCTAACCACGTGTTTTGTTGCCAAAACCTAACCATGTGATTTTGTTTTTCCTAAACCTAACCACGTGTTTTGTTGCCAAAACTTAACCACGTGTTTTTGTTACCTAAACCTAACCACGTGTTTTTGTTTTTCCTAAACCTAACCATGTGTTCTTGTTGCCTAAACCTAACCATGTGTTCTTGTTGCCAAAACCTAACCACGTGTTTTTGTTACTTCAAACTAACCACGTGTTTTTGTTTTTCCTAAACCTAACCATGTGTTCTTGTTGCCAAAACCTAACCACGTGTTTTTGTTACTTCAAACTAACCACGTGTTTTTGTTTTTCCTAAACCTAACCATGTGTTCTTGTTGCCCAAACCTAACCATGTGTTTTTGTTGCCTAAACCTAACCACGTGTTTTTGTTATCTAAACCTAACTATGTGTTGTGTTGCCCAAACCCAACCACGTCTTTTTGTTGCCGAAACCTAACCACGTGTGTTAGTAGTTGGGGGAGAAAAACAAAAGTCAATTTTATTTTGAAAGGGACAGAATGTAAAAGTTCAATTTTCTGTGAAAACAGAAGTGTATTTTGAAAGAAGACAATGCATGTAACAAGTGGAACTTGACATGGCGTGCCAGAACATCAACAACCGACACATCCAGGGTACCTTTCACGTCGTATCTGGACGTAGAAGGTCTGTGACCAAACATCAAACTGTGACGAGGTTGGAGTGAGAATGTGTTGTTAAAGCACCGTGGAGACCAATGAAAATCTTATGGTTGTTAATTTTTTTTTTTAATATCTGCTTATTAATCTCTCTTTTATACTTGATGGTGACTTATTTTGGACAATGTTTGAGTACCGCTCGGACAGAATTTGTGGTCGTGTGTCATTGCATCGCACCAGAAAAGGGCGGAACATAATCGTGTCCACTCAGCGTCCTGGGAATTAATGCTGATTGTAACCTTTCCGATAAAATACAAATACCAGACATTAGTTGGTGTAAGTGAATTTTTGCCAGTGGGAAAGGGAATTTAGATTTGCGAAAAAAAGAACCCAGCAAGATTCCATATTTCAAGTGATACCTTTAACCCAAACCTTTATATTTCCTCTAACCCTAACCCTAACGAAGTGCTTTTTGTGCCTAAACCTAACCTTAACCACAACCACAGCTTTGTTGCACCCTAAAACAGCAAGACAAGAATATATTGAAGCGAGAGTTTCACAAATCTAGGGTTACCATCCAGCCACCACCCACTCAGAGATTCTGGTGTGTTATGCTAGTAGCAGCAGTTGTACACAAATACGATACAACTATAAACTATGATACTACTATAACTACAACTTAAAATATTCACATATGCAGTAGTATTCTCTAACCCCTGCAAACAGACTTGGATGTGTAGTTTCCCTTTATTTAGCAACTGCCAAAATTATGGAAATCATAACAAATTGATGTGGGTTGTTAACTTAATAGTAACACCTTTATTTATTTCAGTCCTCTTGAAATGTTGGTCGGTCTTTCTGAGTGTATGTGAAACTGGTTCAAAACATACATTTAAGGGAGGAAGTCAGTCTGTGTCTGAGAAACATGACCCCCTTTTTGGGGCTACACAAGGGAGCTGCCTCGGTCCATAATTATTCTCCCTGTACACGCTGCCACTTGCTGACATATTAGAGAACACAGTGTTCGTTTCTATAGTTACACACAACTGTGCATCTGCTGATCCAAACGATGCTGCAGCCACAAACTCCATTACTACCTGTCTTTTGGCAATAAATAAATCGATGAGCAATTTCTTAAAGTTAACTTAGGACAAAAGGATTGTAGAGCACTTTGTGCTGCATTTCTTGTATGAAGGGTGCTATATAATTAAAGTTTATTGTCATAATTATAGGTGAAGAGCTGTGACTATCACTGTCAAATGGAACACTTAACATTTTTTATTAGAAATAATTAACCTAGAAGCAGAATAAAGTGAAGGTAGAGGGCTTTTCTACCTAGAAGACTTTATCTAGGCTAGAGATAAAGAACACGCTCTGTAGAAATATAAAGTTAAATGCTAATAATGACAAAGATTCACATCTATTTTATTTCTCAAAACTGACATTGATTTTGTTGTCCTTCCATGGCAAAGCAGATGTTATGAGAACATGTTTTCGAGCACCATTTCTGAAGCAAAAAGAAGAGTGTCACAATCCTCCCTTTTCAAACCCTCTGTACCACCACAGTAACTTTGATACGCTCCCTAGGCAGATGGGAGTGAGCAGCTTCTGTTTACAAAGATGCTAAAAACCATTTTCTGACCCCCAGGTGAACTAGAGGCAGCACACACAGGACTGGACCACAAACAGAGGCTTCATCTTTGCTGTCAGCATGGCTGTGAACATGATGCCAGCTCCCGCCATTTGGCCGGGAGAGGAACAACCGTCGCTGCTGGACCAAGAGGACACTCTGTCGAGCCAAGCTCCGATCTCTGTGCCATGCCCACCAGTCAGAGGTGAACCACTCATCCACAGCGGCAGCAGCAGCTCGGTCGGCACACAGCCTCCCCGCAGCAAATCCAAAGGCGAGCTAGTCATAGTCATCAACGAGAAGCTGAAGAACAGTGAGTTTGACCTCATATTAAGGCGGGGGGTCATACAGCTGCTTAGTCAGCTCACTCAGGGAATGTCAAACTCCAGTGCATGAACGAGCTCCACGTAGAGCACACACACATCGTTCCTCCTCCTGTGTTTCAAATATTTGCCCGTCCTTTTTGTCCCTCATGTGTAGGTAACGGGATCCACCCGGCGCCCGCAGAGAGCACCTCTCCAGTCATCTGCTCTCCTCCCAGAAGACAACACTCCATCTCTTACCCCCATCACGGCAAGACCAGGAAGGGAAGCAGGGCGAGCTCTATCGGCTACACCGCCTTCTCGCCCCGGCCGTCGCTTTCTCGCCACTCCAGCATCGCCACCAACCCACCCTTGGACCGGACCAAGGTCAAAGACTACCTCCTTCTGTCCGTGCTGGCCTGCTTCTGCCCTGTGTGGCCCATCAACATTGTGGGATTTGTCTACTCCATCATGGTGAGAGCAGGATCTTTTGTTTTTAAATATGCGTCTGTATCAAAACCCAAGCTAACAGCTGGTTCGCCCTTCTCTTTCAGTCCAAGAACAGCCTCGAGCAGGGAAATCTGGACGGCGCTGTGCGTCTGGGACGTGTCGCCAAGATGCTTTCCATGGTGTCGCTAGTAGGAGGGACGGTCATTATCATCGCCTGCATTGTCAACCTGGCCAGTGAGTGTCCCAAATCTGACCTTTAAACCTTTTTACCTCCCTCCTGTGTGCAGTGATTTGCCCCCCTCCTGTGTGCAGTGATTTGCCCCCCTCCTGTGCGCAGTGATTTGCCCCCCTTGAATTTGCTGCTACCGCTGATCCTCCTGGCCCAAACACCTCCTTCTGTCACTTTCTATCCCATCACAACATCATATTCAACTGTGTCAGCACAATCTGATTGTAATCACTGATATTATTACTCATGTTTGCACAATATCGCACCAGTTACAATGCCTGCACGAGTCTTTATATGCTGCGGCACTTTAGAAACTGTATCAATGCGACACAAAGATCAGAGCATCTTAAGTACAGCAGACTCAAATCTACATTTTCTGACATGTTCCTCTGTTTGCATGGGTGGCCTCCAGCTGTAACCAACTGCATGCCTCAGACTGCTGTGTGTGTTTCTGTAGAGTGACATGTGTAGTCCGCTGTCTGTTGTATGCCTTGCTCTGTTTGCTTGTACAACTGTGAAATCTTGCTGTCCCTGTACCACATGTATACATATATATAATGTATGTCAGTGTGTGAGTTGTTGACATGCTCACAAGACAAATAAATGTACATTTATTGCACCAAATAAAGGGATTCTGATAACAGATCAGTGATTATTACTTATTAGGGACTAGTATTTGTCTTCTGCAGTACGTTACATTTAAAGGGGACCTATTATGCTTTTCTGTATTTTCTGTCATAAATGTTATTATGTCAGATGTTCATATTAAATATGGCCAGACCTTCAAATAATAAGGTAAATGTTTGTGAGAATAATCCCTGTGAGCATAAACCTAACCCAGCTGGCCACCAACGTCATTCGATATTGACTTTTGGTTTAATTTCAGTTGTGACATCTGGTGACCAAAATACAATGTCAGGATGTCAAAAGCCCCGTTTCCACCGAGCAGTTCAGTTCAGTTTTTTCCTGCGAAAAGTTGTGGATGGTACCATCGGGACTGTTCCGTACTGTCCCCATTTTTGGTGCCCCCTCTGTTGAAGTACCTAGAACACAGATCTGGTACTAAAGGTGGAGCTGTGAACACTGCAGTACATTGATTGGTCATTAGCAGACGGTCACAGCAGCAGCTGGAGTCAGAGTAATAGTAATGACTGGATCTTCAAGCGTTTATGTGTATTAATTTCAGCCAAGTAATGTGAACTGCATATATTCTAATCCTCACTTGGACAAAAAAAAAGTCACGGAGCATCATTTCTGTGGGCTCCAGCAACACTAAACCCCCGAGCTTGCCTGAGAAGGACTAAATGCACAAACCTGCTAGTTTTAAATATCCCGTGGAAAGAGTCTCTCACTGCAGCCTGTTTTATTTAGTTCTGAAAATGCCGGCGAGTAGCCTCTTTCTATGGACGATAAACAAGGTGCAGACTTCCATCTATGTCACCGGTAATGAGGAAATACTGTAAGTGGCAACAACTCCACCCACATTCAAGAGTAATGTTTGCAGAAGAAACGCTAGGGTCTAGGTACCATGTCTTAAGGGTTACTTTTGGTTCCAAAGGTACCATACCGAAAGTGTTTGGTGCAAACGGGGCTTAGTGCCAATGTCAGTTTGAGGTAAACACTGACAACAAATGGCGTTGGTATTTTGTTGGGCTCAAGTTGTGTTGTTAAGAAACCAAAATCCAACATATTCCAAATGTCTTATGCTAACGCCAGCTTGTCGTAGATTAACAACGTTTAGTCAGAAGGTATGACGAAGCCCAACATCTGCAAAATATCATAATGTTAACATCCACACAATGTGAAATTCTAATGTCAATGGACATTCAAAAAATCGTCAATCCAATTTTCCTCCCAACCAAAATTTAACATTTGTCCGACATTGGAGTCCAGCGTCTTTCTGACATCATATTGCCATCCAGTGCTAGTTTGCCAGGCTACAGTCCATTCTGAACACATGTTTCCATTTTCCTTTTTTGACTTTCAAAAGAAGAAAACGTCAGCTTGTGACGGATTTCTTTATATGTTGCTAGCTACTGCAAATGTTTACATTACGTAGCACACACTGCTACATGTAGCTACATGCTAACGTCAAGGAGCCATGTAATCTTGGTTGCCAGTGTCGTTCATTTCTCTTTAAAGGATCATATTCCCGCTGGCAGAAGCTTTAATTGATAATTCTTCAAGGTAGAAAGTGCCGCTAGTCTTCGTAACAGTCTGCAAGTACATGTAGCTACATGCTAACGTCAGGGAAATGCATAATCTTTGATGCCGATATTATTAATTTCACCCAGATTTGGAATTGCAGTCCTGCTGGGACATGTTCAGCTGGGAAGTGTTTGGTTTAGAGGTTTTTATTTGTGTTTTTAATGGTATAAAGTGCCAGAAACGCTGACCAATCAGAGCAGGTTGGGCTTCTTTGGCAGGGAGTTTTAAAGAGACAGGCGCTAAAACAGTGTCTCAGACAGACAGTGAACACAGGGGGTTCCGGCACAGACAGTACGAGGAAAATAAAGTGTTTTTTGAGCATTAAAGCATGTAAACAGGTCCTTGCAGAAACTCCAACTACAAGTAAGAACCTGAAAATGAGCATAAAAGGTCCCCTTTAATATATATACATGAAGGGTCAGTCAGTTAAATGTTTCTTTGCTTTTTTCGCTTCAGTTCAAGCAGATACTTATCTGTACTTTGAATGCAGCCTGTTGGGTCTCATTAAGCCAAGAGATGTCCTCATTAGCTTGATGGCCGTAAGAGCAATTGTACACACAACTATAAGGGCTCTGGGAGTCAACAACCCTTGTTTTTTTCTCATTATATAACTCTGTCCTCTGTGGTCTGTGAAAGTTTATACATCCATATTAAGTTGCAGAATATATAGCGCTTCAACTAATACGCTTCCTCTTCTTTTTTTAGTAAATGTGAAAACCTGAGTTTCATCCCAGGATGAAACTGGATAAGGCAACTGACCGTCTGGCCCACACCTACACCACCGTCTTTACCGCCTAGTCATTACCTGGATGTGTGACAAATATGCACCCGATATACAGTGCTTACTTGTATTTCTGTAATCTATATAAATCCCTTTTTGCTAATGGAAGAAAATAAAATATGCAAATGCTGCTGCTCTGGGGTTGGGGTGGGGGTGGGGGTGTCTGTTAGATGGAGAAGGGGAGTAGACAATCTAAATCAGCCCCTTCGTATTCTGGTCAACACATTCAGGACGATTCTTGAGACACTCTTCGAGAATCAGCCGTAGCTGACATGGTGGACTAGAAAATGGAGAGACCAGTGTAGGTGGTTACAGAACGCGAAACAGGAAGGATTGCCTCCCCAGCTTCAGCGCCACATGCAACAAAATGTCCGCCAAAGTCCATCCTTCACTACACCCGACGACAGGACGCCATCAGAGCTTCAGCTTGCCATTAAATCCCCTCGGACATGTTGGGAGGCTGTGGGATTTGTGGTTACAATGAAATCAGAGAGCAGAAATTCATCCAACGCCCTCACAGAGAAGAAACACTTTGAATCACAGTGTGTCCTCTTGTTTCTGACTCCTCTCTGTGGCTCTCATGATTCCCGCCCGCCCCATACATCTTGTGTGTGAGAGTGAGTGTACGGGTGGCAAAAGAGGATGAAAAAGAGGCTTACCCAGGGACAAGCTATGGGTGCTAAACTGGAAGGGATTATGGGAAGTCTCACACAGAAGGCACCGTCATCACTGCAAGAAAAAATATGTGCCAAAAAAAAAAAAAAATTGAGGGAAAGTTTCTTGCTTTGTAAAGACCCAACTCTGATTACAGAACTGTTGTAGAGAGAAAACCTGTTTCTTTTCCTTTTCTTTTTTTACTCTGCTGCAACGTTACTGTCTATCCACTCGACACCACTGATCACTGTGAGCCGGGGGAAGGGTACATGTTCACAAAAATCACTGTAGCAAGACACTGTAAAGCTAATTATGCTACATCACCTATAACCTATCTTTTTGATAATGTTTGTAAAAGATGATTTTGAAACTGAATTTCATAATGTGATGCTCTTGAAGTGCTGTGCCGCAGTTGACAGGTGGTGGTAGTATTGTATGTGTGTATGGGCATCACTATTTGGTTAACAAATTAAATAGCTTGTTATTGCAGTCAAAGTTGGTGGCTGCAGGCTCAGTCTGCACCCACAGGTAGCCTGTACTATCAAACCAGACAGATTGTGGGTTTTTTTTGTCCTTTGAAAAGAACCCTAAAACAGCAATTAACACATTAATTATACCTTTTTATTTTGTTGAATGCTGTCTTTCATTTTTGCAAAACACTGGTTTAAATATTGTTTCATGGGTGTGAGATTTAGATAGCAGTACTGTGGAGAAACACTTTAAAAATCTAGTTTATTATTTATTTTTTTTATTGTTATTATATCTCCTGTGTATCCTGAACTAACCTCTAATCTACCTGTGAATCTCACTGTGATCTGAAACAACTGGGTTTCAAGAAACTCCTTATTTATACCCTGGATTTTGAATCATGTACAGAAACTCTCCGACTTCCCATCATGAGTTCACACCTGCAGATTCTGTAATGATTATTTTTGTCCCTCTGTTAGCACTTAATATGTAAATTTAATTGTAATCAACAGTTGATGTACTCTGCAGATATAAATCTCAATATTGTGATATGAGTTAGCATTACGTAGTTATGATCTAACGTAGGCACAGAAGCTGACAGTCCTCGTGTTTCCACCGGGCTTCTATAATCTTTGTGATTAATGGCATGTTGTGGATTTTTATTCATGTATGATGATAGAAGTTTAAAAAATAATACAAAGATAAGCTGGCACTTGGAATATTATACTTCTGCAGCACATTCATAATAAAGACACAATGCATGCAATGTGTTTTTTATTGTCCTGGAGAGATAAAGAGCAGCGGAGGGGATTAAAGAGATTTTGTTTTTGTGGGAGAGAATGAGTGTCATAAGTGAGTGATACTCAGAGAGCTTAGCCACCGAGAAGAGACTGGGCTCTGCAGTTTAGTAGATGAGACAAAAAAAAACAGGGAGGTATTAATGTGGTTGTCTGTGCCGTGATAGTGTGTAAGCTGCAGGGATTGTAAGCGCATGCTGTTGACAATAGAGCGGAGGCAGCAGGAAGAGCAAATGCTGAAGGGAGAGGTCCTGAGCTGAGGAAATACACTGTGTGATGGGCTGTAATGAGAGCCAATGCCTCAGATGACTTCAACAAAATCAAAGCAAATTATTCCTCATTATTTTCTTTGAGGTTTTTTAAAACCCCAAAAGGAGCTTTCAGGCTACTATCGGCTGCTTACATATTCATAACAAGAACAGTGAATGGGCAGTTTTGAGAGAATATCAAACAAAACAAATACAGTTTTTATAGTTAGTTATAGGTGTTTGCACCCAGACTGACATGATGAGGTTTAACAGCGTACTCTTATTCTTGAGAACTGGGACAAAATCTTATGAAAAATTAAAGCTCAAAGTCTTGACTATGAAACCTTGTACTGGGCCATCCTCCCAGTGATTTTTATTTTTTAAACAATCTTTTTATTATTGAGTTTTTAAACATTAAATGCGAACAGTCACATTTCAACAAAAAACAAACCCCATAACAGCCCCAACCCTGGCAAGAAAAAATAAAAATGAAAAAAGTAATTTAGATAATAAAAAGTACATAAATAAATAAAAGATTATTTTTAATTTTACAGCAGCTGTAGAGAGTAGCCATTTTATTTTTCAAAGCTACTAAGAGTTCACTTAATGTTAATCAAAATATTAATTTTTAAAATGTAATTCTTATTTAGTTTGATTTAGAAGGGCTACAGAGTTGGCATGTTGTGCTCGACACACGTGCTAGCAAAATTATTTAATAACTTTATCAACAAAAAAAAAAAAAAAATAGAAAAATTATCAAAACAAAACAGATTTATTTCAAATTCTTTAAAATAATGTTTCATTCCAAAAATTGAATAAGTGTGTTGATAAGTTATAATTTGAATTTTTTATTTTTTGGTCGGACATAATTTGTCCCAATTCTCAAGAACACGTGTAGCATGCCCTGCACCAGAATGGCCGACTGATGCATTAACAATATCAAACCATTTATTTAAACTAGCGTTGCAACAATCAGTCGGTTGTTGAAAACAAACTAAAACTAAGCTGTAATTATTTAGTTAAAAAGTAATTTTTAAAGGCTAGCCACTCAGTGAGGCTGTACTGTAGTGTATTCCAGTTGGGAGGTCATTATTTATTAGTTCCCAGTTGAAAATTTAAACTGGAACACCCCCTTAAAGTGGGAGGAAACTTACCAACTGTGACCTTAAAATCCAAGATGGCTGTCCTGTGCCTCAACAGTAGTGACAGCTGTTTTAATATACTAATTGTTAGCACTTAAGGCATATTCATGTCTCATTAAATCAATTGTACACACAGTACTGTCCAACTTCTATCTGTGGACATGTTTCTATGGTGTTAACATATGCACAAAATACAGCCTAATGCCTTGTTATCAACTAGCATTGCTTACAGTGCTACCCTGGCTAGAACTGGTATTGCTAACAACATGTTTTTCAAGTTTTCCAACTTGTACTGGAACGCTGTCAACTCTGATGTGACGTTCATCCCAGCTCCAACCTCCGACTTCTGAGGTAAATGAACACAGCATAAGACATAGCAGTGTTTAAAGCTAAATGCTAATATCATAATGCTAACATGCTCACAATGAAAATACACTGTTCAGGTTGTCCAAAAGTAACTGAGTTAGCAAATTAGTTCCACACTTTATTAACAGGATATTTAATTAGCCTGAAAATACAGCAACCCTCAAACATATTTATTGGAAGCAAGACTCTGCAGCCATGCTAACAGCTCTGATAGCTGTACTGTGCTAAATGCTAACATCAGCATGCTAACAGTTGGACCATGTACGGACAGGCATTGCAGATTATCTGAGGCTACAAATGCTGTGGTGTCTGGCATCGTCTTATGCTACAAACTTGTCCTTAGACAAAACATTAAATAAATATTTGAATGAATAAATAGATGTGCTCACATTGACAATGATGCTAAGTTTACTGTATGTTTACAACGTTCACCGTCTTAGTTTAGCCTGTTAGCATGCTAACATTTGCTAATTAGCACAAAACACAGTAGCCTATAGCTGAGGCTGATGGGAATGCCTTTAGTTTTCAGGTATTTGGTAAGTGAGTATTGGATAATTGGCTATTTTACAGATTGGTTATTTTACCCTGATGGGGACATGAATGTCTGCACCAAATTTCACGGCAATCCATCAAATAGTTGTTGAGACATTTAACTTAAAAACAAAAATGTAAAATGGTGGCACTGGAGAAAAAGTCAGTGGATCACCAGAGTCAATAGGGTTCATCCCAGACCCCCAGGAAAACACCTTTCCTGGTGGTCTGATTTGTCATTGCTGGATGCCATCAGTTTTAGACGCCGCTGGTTAGAACGGGCAGAACGACATTTCCTGTGAAAACAGTGTGTATTTTAAAAGACACCATGCACGCAACAGGCATAAATTGACACCGCATCCTGGAGTGTCAACAACAGACGCAGAGGGGTACCTAATGCATCAAATGTAGACGTGACAGTCCACTGACAAAACTGCAATATTTGATGAGTTGGGATGACAGTGCTTTGAACTTGCAGCCAATTTTTCTCAGTGGCCACTTGCAGTATTGCAGCAAAAAAAATTCCTGGGCCCAAAAGGCATTTTCCCCATAGATCACCATTTTAAAAGACACATCTGTAAAACTATTGACAGGACCTCAAACTGCACTCAAAGTCAACTATGACTATTTCTATTATGATTTATTGATCCATGGAGGTTTTATACTTGTGAAACTGCCCTCGAGCAGAGAAAAGTGATTTTACAATCCATGCGTCATCACAATGTAAAGTTTATGAGTGTTTTCACATATAGAGTTTTTTAAACAAACCAAACTCAGTCCTCTAAAGTGCACCAAAAAGTGGACCAACAAAAAAGGGACTCAGTTCTTTTTGTGTTCACATTGTCAATTCATATGAAAGAGGACTCAGTTCTCTTTCTGGTCCACTTCACTGCATGCACCGCATGAGAAATTTCATTGGAATGAATCCGATATCTAGTCATTATTATAAATCTGTAGTTCATCCTCTGGGAACCATGAATGTCTGCAACAAATTTCATGGCAATCCATCTGATAGGTGTTGAAATATTTCAGTCAAAGAGTTGGAACAACCAACCAATGTTGCCATTACAGGAGTCATGCTCCCAGCATGACTACAAAAACACTAAACTCTACTTTTTTTCCAGTTTCTCAGTTGTGGTTATCTGCTTTTTTCCTGGACTTACATTATGGTCAATGTATTATCTTTGGGTTTTGTACTGTTAACAGGATATGTCGAGGAAATAGTGATTGGCACCTCACTGTTTTCTGATGTTTAATTGACCAAACAATTAATCAGTTAATCAAAAGAGACAGAGTGAGGCATAGATAGAGACTTGGCACAAGAACTGGGACTATGTTTAAATATGTTACATGGAAATAACAAGGCATGATAAAGGTTAAAGAGATGCATAACTCGCACTTAAGTGAGTGCTCTGTTGTAATAGTGGACATAATACATACAAAATAAATCCAACTATATTCACTATATGAATGAATTCATGTTACATTTTTCTTAAAGGGGCAAAAAGGGAAATCGTTTCACTGCTAGGTTTGCTGTTGTGCACTGCCTGTAGACCAAAACAAAGTGTGCCATGAGCCACTTCTCCCTCTACCTCTGCTCTCTCTCAGACGGTCCCGGTGTTTCCTCCGCAGGCTCCACTTCACTCAGCTGCCCAATAAACCCGCTGCGTCTTCCCACTTTAACCTGAATAACAAGCCAGGGCTCGGTGCTCCGTTTGGATCCAAACGGAGAGCCAGGGCTAACGTTAGCTGGTAAGCTAGCGGAAGCTAACTGGCTGTGCTTCCCTCCGGTCATGCTGTGGCTAACGCTCCGTTAGCCGCTCCCAGCTAGCTCCTGTTTGTTATTCAGGTTAAAGTGGGAAGAAGCAGCGGGTCTGTCAGGCAAGCTGAGTGAAGTGGAGCCTGAGGAGGAAGCACCGGTTAGTCCCGGTTTCACTACAGGCAGAGCTACCAGCTACAGAGCTGGTAGAAGCGCTCCATAGCTGTAAGTTAATGTTACTCCAGTAGCTGGTGGCAGCCGACTAGTGCAAACTGCTAACGCTCCCGGGAGCTAACGCTAACGTTCCTACTCTTCTGCGTACTCACAGAGAACAGTTAGCTCCTGGAGTTAGCACTAGTCGGCTGCCACCGGCTACTGGGGTAACCTACAGCTATGGAGCGCTTCTACCAGCTCTTCTAGTCACTGAGTCTTGTCTCCATCTCAGCAAGTATATTACATTTATTACAGGTACCATCATGCCATCTGCCATTGCTCACTGGCTGTAGCCTTTTATAGGGAGGGAGGGCCAAGGGCTCCGAGAGGAGGGAGGAGGCGGCGATTCACATGAACATACATGAATGCCCAGCCGGACCGGCTTGTAAACAATGGGCTGGAGATCAACACAGAGAGAGGGTGTGTGAGGTCATGCTATACTCCAGATGAAATTACACCTCTAGTTCTTCACATAGCAGTTTTTTAATTCTTTCAGACTAGAAATGATGAATTTCACTTATTGCCCCTTTAAAGCTAAATTTCCTTTGCTCACAGAGATAAAAAAAACATCTACATTTGCAGAAACATGACAGCACTGACAACAGCAAATTCCCCCTCGCCAATGTTAACATTTTGACAGCAAAAGGTATTTTTCTTTGTACTCAGCTAATTTACCAGTAGGTATATGCTGTACAGTACGGCTCGG